ACGAAATAGGGTGAATACATCTCATTACACTGATTTACTGGTAGTCTCAAAACCCTACTCTCATACGAATGTATGTAAGTGTATCAAAGTGTGTGAACTTGCATGTGTATCTGTTCTTCTGTGTCTGCATTCATGTGTCAGCCCTTAGCATTTTGATGAAGTTTCACTAACACTACTTAATTCACCAAATGCCAGTTATGGTGGCTAACTGATTAGTCAGTAAAACTATGAGTCTACAATTATTCTACCTCGTGTCCGGTATCTAGTGTGTCCTATAAAAATAGCAGTTTCTCTTTTCTTCCCTTTGGGTAGTCAATGCCCACTCGAAAAGTGACCTTCCCACATCGTACCACGAGATTGCCCGATACTTTTGCCAGCGTTGGAAAAGACAACATTTTCACCTGGATTAAAAGAAGAGATATGACTCAACTTTCCAGTTTGAAGACAAAAATTGGTTGCAAGAAAGGGGCGAATTAGCCTTACCGAAACCCGAATAAGGATTGCCTTGGAGAAGTTAAGACTATGGGATTGTGCAAGGGAGTCCTCGGCTCATCGTCTTGTTAATCTTTCGTCTTTCATGTCAACTAAAAAGCAAACCTAGCTTTTTCCACATATTGGAGGAGGATGTTCCTAGTTCTGCAACAGAACGAAAGTACCGGCAATACCAAGCAACATCAGAACACCAAGACCTCAGATTGTCTTTTGGTGAATTCGATCTACGAAGTATTTCATCTCAGATTTGCACATGAAATTAAGTCACCCCCACATGACTGGCGTCAACACGATGTCGGATTCAGAGAATCATTAAATCGGTGCTTTTTTGAGCAGAACCAAACAACAATAAACAATTGGGCTATTTCATGAATTAAAATTACTCATTATCCAAAAATCGCTTATACCGAAAATAGGATATTTCTGTTTCTAATGCAAGACCTGCACCCACCCCATTTCGTTTTATGTGATGACGGCCATCCGCAAATGAGGAGTACAATAAATATCGAGAACGAAAAATGCTGCCTCGTTTGGACCTAGTTTACATCACCGAGGGCATCCGAGGCTGGTACTACAGTCGGGCCGACATCCGATTGCCCGGCTGCATCTACGGCGAGGGATGTACACTAGCCAACCAACTTCGTGCCGACTTCTCATTGGTTGTCGCTTCTCCAGCTTTCTTCCGATTGGTGCACGTTAAAGTCCAGTAGCAGAATGGCGGCTGCTTCTGTGAGGCACTGCCCTGCAGACGTGAGGCCGAAAGTAGTCTGCGCACACATTTCCGGGCATGGTTACAACTGTCGAGGAAGCTGACATGATTGAAGAACACAAGCATTCAATGGTAAGTTCTCTTGCATTGAAAATATTATTTTTCAACAAAATAAACAACAGTCAAATTGAGTGTTGATGCGATAATTTCACTTTTGGTGAGCCAAACTTCATTTCACTCTCTTTAAACTGGCCATAATAGTTGAAATATCTTCTGCTCGATAGTCTCACCTGAGTCCTGGCCAGGTAGGTAGATTTCTTTGGCAAAAGACTTAATTGCACCGGCATTCTCACCCCAAACGCAACAGGGTTAAGACTAAATGGGGCGTTTGGCGGAATGTTGACGCGAGAGTTTCACAATATGAGCCATCGCCATAACCACAAGTCGC